CACTATGTAGCTGAGGATGACCTTTAATTCCTGATTTTCCTGCCTCCACCTCCCAAGTGTTTGATCAGAGGCATCGATCCAAGCCTGGCCAATTTCCATTACTTTTTTTTTTTTTTCTGTCTTTTTGAGACAGGGTCTCTCTGTAGCCCTAGTGGCCAGGAACTCACTATGTAGACCAGGCTGGCCTTGAACTCCGAGATCCACCTGCCTCTGCCTCCCGAGTGCTGGGACTAAAGGCGTGCGCCACCACACCCAGCTATTACCATTACTTTTTACACTTAATTTATTTATTTAGTATAAATGTTTTTGCCTGCATACCATATGCGTGTCTGGCATTATGTTCTTTTTAAAAGATTTATTTCATTTTTAGTTGTGTGTATGTGTGTGGGTAGAGGGTAGCGGCATTGGATCCTGTAGGAATGACTTTTACAATATGGGTATAATCTGGACTAAAGACTTTTACCTAACCTTGCAACCCCAAAGTTACTGTTTATAATGTAAACAAGCTCACTGAGCCATGTACTCTTGTTGTGATGGGGACACCTGACCTTAATCTTTCAGGATCCCACCTTGCCCTCCACCCAAGACAGTGATATGCATTATTAACATGAAAGTCCTGAAAGCAGCATGATTTTCTCATTGGAAGCAATGAGAAAAATTGAGAATTCTGTTTGTAATTGTGTGTCTGATATTCTAGGTCTAGGGAACAAAGAGTAAGATTTTCTGATAGGATAAGGGCATATTCCGACTTCTACTCCCTGATTTCATGCTGGAGATACTGTTTCAATAAAAAAAAATAAGCAAGGCCCTGGCTAGGGAGCACAGTTCTGAGAGTCATCTAAAGGAACTGGTGCTCGGTATTTCATGTCCATTCTTGGCCTTAAAATAAATGCTAAAAGTCAGGCTGTTTCTTTTCTTTCTTTTTTTTTTTTTTTGAGACAGGGTCTCCCTGTAGCCTCAGCTCTCCTGGAACTCACTATGTAGACCAGGCTGGCCTTGAACTCACAGACATCCGCCTGCCTCTGCCTCCCAGGTGCTGGGATTAAAGGAGTGCACCACCACGCCCCACTATTTCTTTTTTAAGCATCACGGTAATGTGGCTTAGTAATGCCATGTTGATCACCTGAAGCTGAAATTATGGGTGGTTGTAAACCATTTGACATGGGTGCTGGAACCAAACTGGAATCCTCTACAAGAGCAGTACATGCCCTTAATCACTGAGTCATTTCTCCAGTCCCGTCATATCATCTTTTAATGTATCATTGTCTTCATTTTATGATTGAAAAACAGGCTCAGAAGGCTAAGGAACTTGTTCTATGTCACTCAGTAAATAAGTTGTACAGCAGCTTTGAATGGAGGGAGGGTCCAGCAGCAAACATTGACAATTTGAACTTTTGAATGATGGGATGCCAGGCATGTACCACCAAGCCCAGTTTATGTGGTGCTAGGGGTCAAGCCCAGGGCTTCCTACATTCCAGTACTCTGCCAACTGAGCTATATCTCCAGCTAGGTTTCTTTTTTTTGGAGGGGGAGTCAAGACAGGGTCTCAAAGACAAGGCTGACCTCCAACTCAAACTCACTATATAGCAAGACCGTCTTTGAATTCGAGATTCTCCTCCCAAGTACTGAGATTACAAGGATGTACCACTACTCCTAGCTTTCCTTTTACTGTTTGAACCAGGGAATGCCTTGGTGAAAATGGTCAGAAGGGAGCACTGTACAGTGAGTGGCATTTTACAGACTCACCAAGGTAGGAAAGAGTGGGTTAGATGGGGTAGAAGGTGTGATGGCACCATAAATACTAAAGGTGGAGTGGCTGGAGCTAGAAACTGGATGACCTGGCTTCAGCCTGCTTCCTGCCATGCTGCTGTTGCTGGAGAATCTTGAGTAAGTTTTGGTTACATTTGTCCTAAAATGTGTTGATAAACTGAGAGTGGAAAACTTCCAGCTTCTTTGAAACTCACATCTTCCCTGATGCTTTTAAACTGTAATGTATGCTAGAGATTTACATATGAAGACCTTAGGTATTATCCTAAACCCAGAAGAGAATTCAGAGGTAATAATTCGCAACATAATCCTCTTCTCAAAGTACAATGAAATAGGCTTTTTTTTTTTGGTCTTTTTTGAAACAGGTTCTCCCAGTAGCCCCAGCTGGCCTGGAACTCACTATGTAGACCAGGCTGGCCTTGAACTCACAGAGATCCGCCTGCCTCTGCCTCCCGAGTGCTGGGATTAAAGGCATGCACCACCACACCCGGCTCTGAAATAGGATTGTTTCTAAGAATGCTCTCTAAACTAGATTATCTTGAGCTGAGCCAATCATTTCTGCATCTTTCTGTATTCTTTGTTTAAGAATGATTTGGGTGCTGCTGTAGTGGTTAGTGATAGTACAATCAACTAAGACTATTATGTTTGAAACAAATGAAATGACTTAAACCCATCTCTCCAAGAAATTTTATGAATCTATATTTAGGAGGCACAAACTGCATTGTCACCAAATTAATTTGTTTTCTAAGCTCAAATTTAATTTAAAAGGCGATATTTCTCCAACTGCTTCAAACAACAGACTGCAAAGGGATTTTGAATAGAGAACACAGGAAGTAAATACAGTTATGTTCAAGCAACTAACCAACACAATGGTTCCTCTGTCTTCTGTTGCTTGTGATGCTTTTAGAAAATATTTTTAACAACTTCCTGATGAATTGGGATCTTCCTGGTGTAAAGCAAGGCTCATCACTGGCCCACACCTGCAACCTTTTTTCCACCCATGTGTCCCTAGGACATATCCATCACCATGACCTGCTGGGTATCTGGTCTGGGTTTTTCATAACTGCCTTTCTTCTTTGCAGATATGCGGGGTGGGGGTGGGGGTTCTATTCCTGGCTTACTGAAAGAGCCTTTTCCTCGGATTAACCCATAGGGCAAAGCATCTTCCTAAACTATGGCTTTCGTTGAGCTATTTCTGTCATTAAAGCTCCAGGGATCCCACTGCTTAAAGGATGAAATCTACATACTGCCAGGGACCGCCCCATTGTTTCAGCCAGGAGAATGCATTAGCTTTCTTCACAGCGTTAATCCTCCTCGACTGAGATCTGCCACTTGGAAGCCTTAGCTCTTTCTTTCTGCCAACTCATGGCCAGCACCTCCTTCATTGAATTCACTTCCTTCAGGATGTTTTTCTTGTTTAGTAGCTACTTAACAGATAAACAACTCTTGTTTTTGAGCTTAAAATCACATTAAGTGCTTTTAAAATAAATTATCCAAGTCTAGGGATAAACAGCTTAGAGATTTCATTCTTTAAGAACCACCCAGAGTGACTTTGTCAGAGATAGCACTTCAATTTTCAGGCGGCTGTCTTTTCAACTAGGCTTCTACACTAGAAGCAGAATAAACGACTCTTTATGGTGACCTCTAGCGGGCACGGGACAGTCCTGCAAAATTATGAAAAGTGGAGGGGAAAGAAAACCCTTCCCCAGTAATAAGCCTGGTTAGTCGATGGTCACATGACTGCATCCCACTCCCCCACACCCTTATAGATATGTTTTTTCCATATATGTATTTTATCTTTCCAGTGTCTGCTTTGCATCCAACATAGTTTGCCTTACATACACAACTTACCTTTTCTCGCCTCTTGCGGGCGGGGCTGCAGGTGTCAGATGTCATGTGATTTGAGCTTTAAAACAATATTCCTGCCAAGTGGAACCCCATTCCCTGGGCATAGAGCTTTGCGCGGGGTAGTCTCTGCGCTTCGAGGGCCGGTGCTGAAGCCGGATGGGGGTGCACCGGGGGCGGGGAGGGTACATCGAAATATCACGAATAGGAGGATGCCGACCAACCAAGGCAAAGAGAAATTCTGCCTTTGCCAGTGAAAAGGCGATTCTCTCCAGACTTCCACCCTACTCCAAGGGAGACATCATGAGAGGACCCAGGCGCGCAGCCCATCCCGCCTTCTTGGAACCCGAGGCTGGGAAAGCGGGGGCCGGGGCAGTTCCACCGGCCGGTGGCATCATGCGGGGTGTTGGGGAGAGGCTGGGTGCGCGACCGCCTTCGGAGCGCGCGGCACGTGGGTCGCCCCACGCGGGGAGAGGAAGCGCAAAGTCGGCTGGAAAGGCAGCAGCTGGGTTGCTCGTTTCAAAAAATCCTTTGGGGCGGTCTCAGAAGCAGACCTGGGTTCTGCACAGTTTCTGGCAAAGGTTCATCCAAACACCGTCTGCTCCCTACTTCAAAGCTCGCACTCTGATCTTCACCTCTGCATCCCTCCCTTCGGGGACTGTTTAAAGGAACCCTGTTTATGTGTGTGTGTTGGGGGGGGGGGTGTCTTGCCCTTTATCCGGATGGCAGATAGGGGATGAGGGGGCAGCAGGCTGGGTGCCGAGGGGCTCGGCTCCCTTCCATCCCCGGCTCTCGGCTCTTCGCATCCCCGCCCCGTGGACCCCTCCCGGCCACTGCGGGCGAGAGCGCTCGGCGTCACGAGGCGGGGAGCCCGAGGTCCAGGGCGGGGCGCCGGGGAATCCCAGCCCCAGCCAGCCCCGGAGGTGCGAGCGCGGGCGGGCAGAGGAGTGCGCGCCGAGCGAGGAGAGCGCGCGGAGCCGGCGGGCGAGGAGGAGGACGGCGAGGGAGGGCCCGCCCCCGCCTCCCGCAGCCGGCTCCTCGCCGCCGCGGAGCCGGCTCACTTCGCCTCTCGCCTCTGGACGGCGGCGGGAGCAGCCTCCGGGGAGCCGGGAGCCCTTCCCGCCCCTGCGGGAGGTGGGCGCTGCCGCCTGCGAGAGGACATCCCGGGATACCCAGGGGCGACCCCCGGGCGCGAGGG